GAAGGAAGGAAGGAAGGAAGGAAGGAAGGAAGGAAGGAAGGAAGGAGAGGGCTGTGGTGTTGTTTAGTAGCAGAGCACTTGTTAAGTATATGCGTGAGGCACTGAGTTCAATCCTCAGCATCACAAAAATAAATAAATAAATCCTTAGTCCTATGGTACAAAAGTCAATTTAGCATTATATTCCAGAAGGAAAAAAAAAAAGTAGGTGATAAATTTTGAAGAAGTTTGAAGCCACAAACTTCTCAAATTGGGGAAAAAACATAGGTCCGAAAATCTTAGCAAAGCCGGGCGTGGTGGCACAGACCTTTAATCCTAGCACTCAGGAGGCAGAGGCAGGTGGATATCTGTGAGTTCAAGGCCAGCCTGGTCTATATAGTGAGTTCCAGGTCCATATAATGAGTTCCAGGTCAGCAGGGGTTACAGAGAGACCCCATCTCAAAAAGACTTTAAAAAAAAACAAACAAACAAACAAACAAACAAAAACCTTAGCAAACCCTAAGCAGTTTTGAAATATACAAACAAAATCATCTAAGTATATCATAGTCAAAGTATTGAACAACAATGATAAATTGCAAAACTTAAAGACAACCAGGGAAAAGAGGAAGGAAGGTTGATTAGAGAGTAAGGACACAAATTACAGTTGGCTGCTCAGTGAAACAATGAAGGCAAAAGTCGATAGAAAGTCATCTTCAAAGTCCTCTACTGCTATGTGTTTGTTTGTTTGAGACAGAGTCTCCCTGTAGCCTCAGCTGGTAGCCTGGAATGCGTACAGAGACCATCCCAGGTGGCTATGGCTTTTTGCATATAGACATTATTGACCTAGATTTGCCTATCAGATTTTCAAACATTTCAAGTGTTCCAAAATTCAGTAGGACTGAGTGTGTGCTGTTTTATGGGAATGATGACTCTCATTTTAAATTTATTTATTGCTGTTTTTTTCCACTAGGCTCCTACCAATGATAAGACACTAAAACTTCAGATAAAATCCTACCTTTTTTTGTCAAATTTTTCCATACATTCCAGAGGTTGAATGAACTGAAGAACTTCATCCCATTGACCATCAAGGATCAGCTGCCTAAATAAAGAAAAACCCAGAATGCTAATGAATTCAGGTCACATTAATAGATGACAGAGCAGATGACAAAACAGACATTAAAACTTCACAAAGCTCATAAGATTAATCTCTGATTCCTCAAATATTATACCTATTCTTTCACAACAACAATTTCTCAATTTTGTATTTATGAGAACAGTAAAAATTTTTTGTTTTTCAGTCTTTTTGAGACAGATCTCCCTGTAGCCCCAGCTGGCCTGGAACTTGCTATGTAGACCAGGCTGGCCTCAACCTCACAGAGATCCCCTTGCCTGGGATTAAAGGCATGCACCACCAGGACTGGCAATAACAATACAATTTTTTAAAGGATGGGCAGAAGGACCTGAAAAAGACCGCCAATGTTTTATCCTTCAAAGAAAGAATTCTAATGACCTGTCACAATACGTGTCACAATCCTTTTATTAGGGGATATTTTAATATCAAAAAATAAGGACACAATCTCAAAGGTTAGACCTTTAAGATGAATACATTTACCTTAATAAAAAACTTACTATCCTGTAATTCTTTCCATTTTACCTCAGACCAGTAAAATTCTATCATAAATCAACAGGCTCCTAGAGAGTACTTAGGGGCCAATACTAAATCCCAGAAATATCAACATTTGAAAGACAGGGGCAAAAGAATACTGCTTCATTTCTGTTCCTAGCTAAGCTAGCTCTCAGCAAACTCCCTGAGCTAAACGATCACAACAAATATACAGGGAAGTGCAGTAAGTTAAATACACTGCAGTTTATACAATAAACCTTTGTCTTCCTTTAAATTCCTTCTTTTTCATGAGTAAGGAGCAGTCCATTTCATTGAAGAATATGCACTCCTTGTCAAAGATATTTGTTATTGTATAAAAATAGAATGTATTTCTATCCGGGAATTTGGCGTTTTCTTTTTCTATCCAATTCAAGTTGGGATATATTCAGTTTTCCACTTTGGCAAATATGTTAATTCCCTTTGCCTTGCAATTCCCCCTGTAAGAGCTGTGCCCTAGGGAAATAATCCAAGATATATTTAAAAAGTCTCATGTATTGGGCCAGGCGTGGTGGCACACACCTTTAATCCCAGCACTTGGGAGGTAGAGGCAGGCAGATCTCTGTGAGTTCAAAGCCAGCCTGGTCTACATAGTGAGTTCCAGGATAGCTGGGGCTACAGGGAGACCCTGACTCAAAAAGACCAAAAAAAAAAAAGTCTCATGTATAAAAGCTGTTCAGTAGAGCATTTCAGAAAAATTAGAAACAATGATCTAAAAAAAGGGGAACCATTAGATTAAACTGAAAATTTTTGACATATGTAATTGTAGTCACAGAGAATCCTTGAGATAATGGATAAAGCAGGACTTTAAATTACAGATACAAAATAATTGCTTTTTTTTTTTTTTTTTGGTCTTTTTGAGACAGCTTCTCCCTGTAGCCCCAGCTGACCTAGAACTCACTATGTAGACCAGGCTGGCCTTGAACTAACAGAGATCTACCAGCCTCTGCCTCCCAAGTTCTGGGATTAAAGCCATGTGCCACCATGCCCGGCGATTTCTTAGTCAAGTACTTTCACATTGATATCATACTTTAGAGTTGTGACATGAAAACATGCTAAGGAAAACAGCACCATACACTGTAAATGTTCCATTATAAAAGCATTTTTTAATTATAGTCTTTCATGATCATATATCATATATCTCTATCATATATCTATTATACATATTAATAATTAACTATAAACAATTATAATTATTAATACATAATTATTACTTAAGCCTCACAGTAAGAAAAAAATCATACCTCAGAAAAAGCATATCATCTGAAAATAGGCCATTTATGACTCCACTTTCCTTCTCAAGGGCCAGCATACTAATGTGAAGCTTCTTTGAATTCAAGAAGTCCAAAATTAACTTAATGATTTCAACCTCTTTTACATTCACTGTTTCTTCAGCCGTCATGTTGCTAACCTAGATATGAAACAGTAACAACAAAAACTTAGTCCTATTGTTTTATGTGTAAGTTTAACAGCCTAAAATTGACAGTTTCTTGCAATAATTTTTTAGTGCAGGTATTTCAAAGAGAAATTAACTATCAAAATGAAGTCATTTTTTAATGTATTGAAGTATGGCTCCAGTTCTTTAATTTTTTTATAATTTCATATATACCTTATTTACATAACCCCCACTCTATACTCTCCCCTATCCAACTCTTCCCATTCCCTCTCAACTTCACGACCTCTTCCTTGATTATTACTGTTACATATTTAATGTACTGAGTCCATTTAGTGGGGCTCTCCTTCCTGTACTGTGTATGACTGACACTGGGGATTCAGAAACCCATCAGGGAGCTTGGTCCTGGAGGAAACTAATTCTTTTCTCATCAGCCATTGATTGCCTATATCCCTCTTCATCTAGAGATAGAACCTTGTGAAATTTCCCCAGTCTACATTGGCATATCAACTGATGGAGTCATTATGCAGGTCTTGTTTGGGCCAAACTATTGTTTAGATTTCATGCATACAGCTCCTGTCATGCCTAGAATATACTATCTAGCAGCAGGTGTTCTGGTCCTCTGGCTCTTGAAATTGTTCTGCCCCCTTTCCATGATGATCCCTTATCCTTAGGTGTAGAAGTTGCTCTGTAGATGTTTCAAGCGTGGCAAGGCACCCAATGGTCCCTTATTCTCTATGCTTTGACCAGTTGTGAAACTTAACAAGAGTCTCCCTCCATCTGTTGCAAAAAGAAGCTTCATTGATGAGAGCTGAGAGCTACACTTATCAGGCTTGTCTGGAACCCAAGTTGTGCAACCCAAGGCCTGGGAGGGGAAAGCAGCAAAAACTCAGATTTTTAATTTAATTTATTTATTTATTTGTCTTTTTTGAGACAAGGTCTCCCTGTAGTCCCGGGTGGCCTAGAACTCACTCTGTAGACCAAGCTGGCCTTAAACTCACAGAGATCAGCCTGCCTCTGTCATGCAAGTGCTGGGATTAAAGGCATGTGCCACCATGCCAGCAAAAAGCTCAGATTTTTCAAAATACTTATCTGTGAGAAATACACTTTGGAGTAATGACATATTAACTGATACAAAGTCTGATTTGCTTCAAAATAATACGAGATAAGACAGCAAAAGTAAAGAGAAACCAAGACTATCATTACTGAATCAGATTGTTAGGTAAATGAGTTCATTATATAATTGTTACTCCCGTAAGTGTTTAAGTTTTTCTAAAATATGAGTCCCAAGATGGCTCAAGGAGATAAAGGTGCTTACAGCACAAGCCTGGCAACCTAAGATTGATCCCTGGAAGCCATGCAAAAGTAGATGGACAGAACCAACTCCACAAAGTTTTTTTCTGACCTCCAAATATATGCTGTAGCACACACATCCACATACATTATGCACACACATAATAAATTTTTAAAATTTATTTTTAAGTGTATGAGTGTTTTGCCTGCTTAATGCCGGAAGAGGTCAGACGCTGGTGTCAGATTCCCTGAACTGGAGTTATAGATGACTGTTAGCCACCATGTGGGTGCTGGGAATGGAATCCAGGTCCTCTGTAACAACAGCCAGTGCTCTTACCTGCTGAGCCATCTCTCCAGCCCCCATATTTTTAATTTTAAAAAGCAGAGCATTACCAGGCATGGTGGCGCACGCCTTTAATCTGCACTTGGGAGGCAGAGGCAGGCCGATCTCTGTGAGTTCAGGACCAGCCTGGTCTACATAGTGAGTTCAGACCAGCAGGTGCTACAGGGAGACCCTGTCTCAAAAAAAGACCAAAAACAAACAAACAAACTCACAATATTTCTAAAGGGTTGGCATAAGCCTGGTGTTGTAATTCTAGCACTAGAGAAGCTGAGGCAGAAGGTTCTCAAGCTTAAGGCCGATCTAGGCTATAAACCAGTAAGAAAGGAAGTAGATGGGGTGAATAATACCTCAGTGGTAGAGCACTTCATGAGGCCTAGGTTAAACAAAAGAATATTTTCTTAAATCATGAGTAACTAGGTGGGCATGGTGGTACACACCTGTAATCCCAGCTCTTGGGAAATAGAGGCAGGAGGATCAGGAGTTCAAGGTCATCCTTGGCTACCCAGTTGAGTTTGAGACCAGCTGGGCTACATAAGACCCTGTCTCAAAAATTTTTTTAAATTATTAGTAACCCTGTTTAGCAGGCATGGTGGCACATACCTTTAATCCCAACACTTGGGAGGCAGAGGCAGGCGGATCTCTGTGAGTTCAAGGCCAGTTTGGTCTACATAGTGAATTCCAGGCCAGCTGGGGCTACAGGGAGACCCTGTCTCAAAAAGATAAAAAAGACCAAAAAAAAGTAACCATGTTTAGCTATATCCTAAATACACTGTGTAAGGTATACCCTAACAATTCACAATAAACACCCCTTTGTGATACAAAACACTACTCTTATCTTTAAGAAGCTTATAGTTGGGGGCTGGGGAGATGGCTCAGCTCTGTAAGAATAAGAACCTGAGCTCAATTCCCAGCACCCATGTAAAAGTCAGGCACTGCAGCACATGCCTGTAATCCCAGCAATGGGGAGGCAGCAGGATCCCTGGAGCTTGCTGGTCAACCAGTCTAGTCACATCAGTGAGCTCCAGATTCACTGAGCCTTGTTTCAAAAAAGAAGGAGGAGTGTGATCAAGGAAGGCATTGGGTCCAACATCAACCTCTGGTCTCCACACAAAATGCATGCACACCCACGAGCACACAAACAGGAACACACACACAAAAGGGAGTTTCTAACCCAGGTGTGGTAGCACACGCCTTTAATCCCAGCAGTTGGGAGACAGAAGCAGGTGGATCTCTGTGCATTGAAGGCCAGCCTGGTCTACCTAATGAGTTCCAGGACAGCTGGGCCTACAGGGAGACCCTGTCTCAAAAAAAATAAAAAAGAAATAATTAACAAAAGACAACCTTAATTCTATACTGTGAAATTCCCAGTAGAAAAGTTTGGTATTTTAATCACTCAACTCAGAAGTTTTTATTCTTAAAAAATTCGCTATTGTAGATACAATATAGACATCACAAGTGTTTGGAAGTTTTGTCTTATCACTCTTGTCTAACCCATTACTGAAATACTGATAGTGGCCGTACTTATGGGCCTGCCCCACTATGCCTGTTCTTTGTTTGTCTGCTTGTTGCTCATTTGGTGTTTGTGTGTTGGGGAGGCAGGGCAGGAGGGAATAAGACAAGGCTATGTGCAACCAGTCTAGTCTCATACTCCTAGGTTCCAGTGGTCCTCTCAACTCAGCCCCTTGAACAGCTGGTACTTACAGGTAGGTGCCAAACTACACTTGTCTCTAATATTTTGTTAATCTTTTAAAATGAGATGTAACCCAAGCATGCTGACATATACCTATAATCTAGCATTCAGGAGCTGAGGAAGGAGAATCTCAAATTCAAGGCCTGGGGAAGAACAGGTTCAACTAATGCTAGCCAAATTAACATGAGATGCAAAGAAAAAAATAATAGACTGGGGTGGTAAGGGTACATACCTTTAATCCTAGCACTCAGGAGGCAGAAGCACATCTCTGTAAATTCAAGTCCAACCTGGTCTCCACAGTGAGTTCCAAGCCAAACCAAAAAAAAAGTCACTGAAAAAAAATGCTTCTTCAAAGACTAGAATAGGTGACTTTTGTTTTGTTTTTAAATATTTTATTATTTTATATGCGTGTGTGTATTGCCTACACATAGGTTAAGTGCACCCGTGTCATGCAATGCCCGCAGAGGACAGAAGAAGCTGTCAGATCCCCTGGAACTGGAGTTACAGATAGTTAGCTACCATGTGGGTGCTGGGATTCAAACCCAGATCTTCTGCAAGAATAGTCAGTGTTCTTAACCGCTGAGCCATTTCTCCAGCCCCGAATAGGTGACTTTTGTTTCCAATGTCTCTAAAGTTTTTTTTTTTTTCTAATGTGATTCTTTACACAACACAGTGCACTTGCATGCAGGCAATACAATCATACACATAAAAATAAAAACAATAAAATTTAAAAAAAGAAAAAATGGGATTTTGGCCCTGTGACCCAATTATTTTGCCTAAGTCAATTCTAAAAGTTGCTTAGAAAGGCTTGCCAAGTCTACGGTTTGTGTAAACAGTTATTTACTAGAAAAAATTAACAAAGGGACAACAGTAGAGTATGTACCACTAAAAATGGAAAATGAAACTGGGGGAAAAAAATCAGGGTAAGTATGCCCATATTAATGAGTTTTTAAAAAGTCACCAAATAGGGCCAGGTGCAGTGGCGCCTGCCTTTAATCCCAGTACTTGGGAGGCAGGGGTAGGTGGCTCTCTGTGAATTAGAGGCCAGCCTGATCTACATAGTGAGTTCTAGGCCAGCTAGAGCTACAGGGAGAACCTGTCTCAAAAAGACAAAAAAGAAAAGTCACCAAATAAAATTCTGTGCTTCTTACAGATTTTCTTTTGAGATGTAAATTTTTTACTTACATTAAATATCTGAACTAGTGATATAAAGAAATAGCTTCCTTGGGGCTGGAGAGATGGCTCGGCAGTTAAGAACACTGACTGCTCTTGCAGAAGACCCAGGTTCGAATCCCAGTACCCACATGGCAGCTAACAACTGTCTGTAACTCTACTTCCAGGGGATCTGATGGCCTCTTCTGTCCTCCGCCGGCATTGCATGACATGGGTGCACTTACCTACATGCAGGCAATACACTCATACACATAAAATAAAAACAATAAATAAAATATTTTTTTAAAAAAAGAAAGAGCTTTCTTTAAAAATAAGGGAGACCAGGCATGGTGGTACATACATGCCTTTAATCCCAGCACTCAGGAGGTAATTAGTCTGGTCTACATAGTAAATTCCAGGCTACTTGGGGCTACAGGGAGACCCTGTCTCAAACAAAAAAAAACAACACAAAAATCAAAACAAAACCAGAATCAAAAAAGGGGGTGGAGTGGAGTAGGGAGATAGCTGGGTGGGTAAGAG